TTCCGTACGTTGCCGTCGGGTCGAGGTTACGTCCTACGCACGACCGGCCGTTCCGTACCCTACGGGTCGACGGGTGGTAACCTCCCAACTAACGACGCCGTCGAACCCCGTACCCATCTACTACCAACCTTCCTAACCAATCGACGTTTCGTCAAAGACCTTCCATCAAGATCCTGCACTGCTGAGAGCTGGAGAGATGCGGAGCGCCAACTGACTTTGGTTTGAGATCAGAGGCGAGAAAGACGAGGAGACAGAAAGAGGGAGTCCTCGGTGTTGATACTCAGGGAGGGGCCGGGGAGACACAATGATTTGTACGACTGATGAGCAAGCTTCCTGGGAAATGATAGTCAGACGAGACATGTGTAAGAGAAGACTGAATAAGGACAGAAACATGGCACGGGGGGAATAAAAACCGGCAGAGCATAATCATAAAAAGAGAGTGTCTGTCAGGTGAGAGAGAAAGCTACAAGAACACACAGCGTGGGATATGTATGGAAAAGTAGAAACACACTGTGAACACATTGTTTGAATATGTGAGGAGTCTGAGGACTGCCCCCCCCACAGCCTCAAAGACTCCGAGATGTGACTGTCGTTCCAATACTTGATTTGTTTCAGACTTTCTCCGTGTTTTCTTGTAATCTTCACAAAAGGCATCTTGTTATTTGCTTGCATGTGCTCGTCTTTCTCTGAGGACTGGAACAAGTCGATGCAAAGAAAATAAACTACGACCATTACAAGCGTTTTTTTTTTTAATGCCCGAGGCTTGATCATTTTCCACATATTTTAAAACCTACTGAAGTTACATCAAGAAAAAAATATTGATTTGGTGATTAAGCGTCCATACAAAAACAGCAGACAGAGCTGTTATCTAATTTAATGTGAAGACCTTTTTCTTTGAATGAGTCTCTCCATACATGTAACATTTGGTCTTGTAAATAACTAATGTACTTGTTAAAGGGCCCATGTCATACTTTTCTGGTTATTACCCGTATGTGTTATGAACCCTCAAAGTACACCCTGTAGCGAGTAAAGCTCTAACACAGAACAGACCTACATGCTGCCCAAAACGCCTCGTTGGAGATTTCTCATTTTCCATTGTTTGCTTCCTGGGTTCTGTGACGTGTGAACACCCAAATCAACAACAAATGACGGATTGGCCCAAATGGACCAATCGGCGGAGCACCTCACACACCACCAGGACCCCTTGGCTAACTAACAGGGAGTCCCATTGACTTGCATAGAGCTCCCTGAACGCTGGTAATAGACGAGTTGGGATGGCGGAGATATGCTCTCCGCAGACCCATGCTCACAGCGTTATAAACCTTTTTCTAACTCAATATCAAGCCACACTTATGGTTTTTACTTCGGCTGTGAGTTTTGTGTGTGCTCAGGATGAGTTTTGCGCTGTCTCGCTGTATCGCCGACCCGGAAACCTGTCCGCTCCTCGCAGCAGTTCGCAGCAACGGCGAGCAGCAACGAGCCTCGCAACGTCCCGACCAATCAGAGCACACTGAGCTCACAAGGAGGGGGGGGCAGGAGCTCCAACAAGCTGTTTAGGACAGACAGTGAATACCTGGTGAATACACATACTATACAGAGATGCTGTATGAGAAACCAATGTGATTTTGGAAAATTGCACAGTTGAAATCTATTCTAGTAGACCTCAACAATGGAATTATGATCAGTAGAAATGGCCATGACATGGGACCTTTAGGAATAAGTTTTGCAAGTATTGTACAAACCATTGACAGGAATAAACATTTTTCTTTGATTGAGTATTTTGTTTTCCTTGCTAACTATATTCATCCCAAATGTTTTCTTACCTTAGATGCTCGGTATACATTTGAAGTTGAGTAACGTAAAATAAAGAAATATACACATCTCAAAAGAGTGCAATCATCAATGAAGCGCCACCAGCTATAAACTAAAAGCTAATTTACTGATGTTTATTTATAGGATTGTGAGGTGCATCTGACCCCCTACTACTTAGATGTAGTAACAATATATGAATATATATACAGTCTATGGTAAAAACGCACTAAGAGCAGTTGGTATTCAGATCGAACTCCACATGCACACAGAGGATTTCAGATGAGCCTTCTTAAAGCCTACGTCAATATGGTGGGAACATTTCACCATTGGCTTTCCCCCTGTTTATACTGAGATTTGAAGATGGAGAGTGTGTGTTTGTACATATCATTTACCAAAAGTTTGAAGGAAGTTTCAAAGATTATTTGGCCCCTTTTCTCCTTGAACATCTTTTAAAAAATCATGCCTCAAAACACAACTTGTGTTCATTGTATTGACTCTTGTTTGTACTGTGAAACCTATCAATGATATCGATTGGATTTCCGAAAGGCAAAACACAGTCTGTGGTACAAAGGAATAGTTTAACATCTGGGGAAATGTGCTTTTCTTCGAGTGAAATAAGTGGACCACTATTATATATGAAAAACAAATATGAAGCCAGGAGATGCTTGGCTTACGTTCTCATCAAGTCTCTAAAAAGGGTAACATTTCGCTTTTCCCTCTTTGAAGGTATCTGGAAACATCTGCCATTACAGAAATATAGAGGTATGTCTAGGTGACGGATGTGAAACGATTTGAATAAACCTACAACTTGTGTCATTGTATTAATTGTCATCAGCCAAATGCTGCAGTTAAAAAACATTTCAAGTGCCAGAAAAGTTGGACTGCTGCAGGAAAGGATATAAAAGTTTGGTGAAGTGTCTGACGGCTCCCTGACAGTAACACCTCTGTCCTGTCAGTAAACTTCTTTTAAGTTCACCTTAGGGGCTAATGTGGGAAAGCTGAACCACAGCCACTCCTCCCCCTTCCTGAGTTATAATATAAGCAGAGGAAGCTGCAGAGCTGTGTGTATCTGAGGTGTCAGACCCTTGCGAGTTGCCTGTCATCCTGATTGAAGTAAACAAGGTCTCTGACACCAATATGGGAGCAAATGAAAGCTGCTCGCTTTATTTATTCATTCATTCAGTCAGTGTCGTGTTCATATGGAGAGGGAGCAACTCCATGCCCGCGTTATAAACAACAAGCAATCAAATCTCATTTTTAAAACTTCAGCGGAGGAATGTTTGTGGAACTATATTATAGACGGTACTGTCCTGCATGAAAACAAACACATTTGACATAGTGAACAACAGGACATGGTTTAGCATGAGTGAAAACACAGAGATTGCATTTAAAGTAGAAAACTGACATTTTACACAGCTAAATATATTGTTTACAATACAGGACTTTTACAAAAGAGAAAGCTAGAAGTAAGATAAGGTTAGTTTGTAAGAATGTTTCAGTTGGAGACATGTTTGTTTGCTGTTGTTGTTTTATTTTTCTCCTGTGGCATGTTTTTATACTTGGTGATCTAATTTGCATAACACTTTGTACAGACATTCTTGTTCCTCAGAGGGTGAACCATTCTGATTCTGATGATCCTCTGCCTTTTCCTACACAATCATACGTTTATATTTGTCATTTTAAAGGAAGTTTATCACTAATCTTTGTGTGAATTGCCAAGACATGTGGTTCAAACATTCATGTTCCCCTCAAGGATCGGACCCCCTTTAACTTTTTCTCACATGCCATTTGCAGGTCAAACTGTTGTCTTTTGTCTCTTTGATTCATTCATTCCAAGACACGTGTCCACAATAACGTATTAATACTTTCCCCATAAGCCTTAGCTGTACTTTTGTCTGGTGCCATGAAGCAAATGTTAGCATGCTAACACAGAAAGCTAAGACTGTGAACATAGTCAAAAATAAACCGTTGACCATAAAACCATCATTATCGTTAGCATGTCTAACTTCTTCATTTTGTACAATGTTTTTTGTTGGTTCTTATATTGATTCAATCAATGTTTATTTATATAGCCCGATATCACAAATGTTACATTTGTCTCAGTGGACTTCACAGTGTGTACAGAATATCAGTATGACAATACGACACCCTCTGTCCTTTGACCCTCACATCGTACAAGGAAAAACTTCCGTAGAAAACCCCACAGTTTAAAGGGGAACATGGGAGAAACCTCAGGGAGAGCAACAGAGGAGGGATCCCTCTCCCAGGACGGACAGACGTGCAATAGATGCCGTGTGTAAATCGAAGAGTTAATACATTTACAACATAGGTAGACCAAATGTTTGGAAATGCATGTGTCTATAGTCTATAATAAGAAGATGAATCCACGAGGATGTCAACAATCTTGTGGGAGCCATCAGGGAAGTAGTATGGTGAGAGTCTGGCAGGACCGCAGAGACAGGTTCAGCCACGACTCGAAGTCCAGGACTCAGATCCAGTGCTCAGGATAGAGGATCCAGGACACACGACCCAGGACACACGACCACAGCAACAGGATTAGCCTCGACTCAGGATCCCGGCGTAGATATGGACACAGAAAAGAGATTTGGGGGAAACTGGGTTAATCGGAACATGAGAGTACACAGGTACAAACAGCCAGAAAGACGGAGTAAGGTGCCCCCCCCCCAACAGTCCAAGCCTATAGCAGCTAAACTGACGTGTCTTCATACATGCACTCCCTTAGGATAGGTTGAGGGAAAAGGATAGCAAGTAAGAAGTAGGAAACAGAGGTGGAGAGGCACACACAGGGAAAAAGGTCCCCATTGGAACCTGAATTTGTCAGAGGTAGGAGTGGGTCAGTGACTGCGTTCCACACTCCCCAGCCGGGCTAGGCGTTCTCTGCAACCTGCTACCCTCTAATAAACCTCGAGAGAT